CATGTTGGCCAGGCTGGTCTCGAACTCCTGACCTCATGTTCCACCCACCTCAGCCTCCCACAGTGCTGGGATTACAGGCATGAGTCACTACACCCGACCTAGTTTTATTTTTTTAAACGGCTTTATTGCGCTATAATTTGCAGCTCATAAAATTCATTCAAGTATGTAATTCAGTGTTGTTGTTGTCTTTGAGACAGGGTCTTGCCATGTTACCCAGGCTGGTCACAAGCTGCGGGGCAGAAGCAGTCCTCCCACCTCAACCTCTGGAGTAGCTGGGATCACAGGCATGAGCCACTGTGCCCAGATAATTTCAGTGATTTTTTTCATACATTTACAGAGTTGTACAAGCATCGCCATCATCCCATTTTAGCACATTTGCCTTACCTCAGAAAGATCGCCATTCCCAATGGCGGTTAGTCCCTGTTTTCACCGCACCCAGGCAGCCACTAACCTACTGCCATCTCTCTAGATTTGCTTGTGGAGGGCATTTCATATCAATGGAATCTTACAATGTCTGGTCTTGTGTGTCTGGCGTCTTCCACTAAGCGTGTGTTTGCAGGGTGCATCCATGTTGCAGCACGTATCAGTACCTGGTTCCTTTCCATTGCCTCAGTGTTCCTTTGTGGATAGACCATATTTTGTTAATGGATGCTTGTCTTAGTTAATTCAGGCTGCTCCAACAAAATAGTGTAAACTAGGTATTTCTGTTATAAGTAACAGTAATGTATTCCTGTAGTTCTGCAGGCCGAGAAGTTCAAGATCAAGGTGCTGGCAGATTCAGTGTCTGGTAGGGCCTGCTAGCTGTGTCCTCACAGTGGAAAGAACAGCCAGGCTCCCTCAGGTCTCTTTAATTTATTTATTTGAGACAAGGTCTCGATCTGTTGCCCAGACTGGAGTGCAGTGGCATGATCATGGCTCACTGCAGCCTCAACCTCCCAAGCTCAAGTGATCCTCCCAACTCAGACTCCTGAGTACCTGTGACTATAGGCATGCACCACCACACCCTGCTAATTTTTGTATTTTTTGTAGAGATGGGGTTTCACCATGTTGCTCAGGTTAGTCTCGAACTCCTGGAGTCAAGTGATCCACCTGCTTTGGCCTCCCAGGATTTCAGATGTGAGCCACTCCGTTCAGCTAGTGTCCGTTTTAAAAACGCATTAATCCCATGACGTAATCACCTTCCAAAGTCTTCACTTTCTTTTTTTTTGTTGTTTTTTGTTTTTTGAGACAGAGTCTTGTTCTGTCACCCTTCCTGGGGTACAGTAGCACAGTCCCGGCTCACTGCAACCTCGACCTCCTGGGTTCAAGCAATGCTCATGCCTCAGCCTCCCAAGTAGCTGGGACTACAGGTGTGTGCCACCATGCCCAGCTATTTTTTTTTAATTTTATTTTTTGGTAGAGATGGGGTTTCACCATGTTGGCCAGGCTGGTCTCAAATATCTGACCTCAAGTGATCTGCCTGCCTTGGCCTCCCAAAGTGCTGGGATTACAGGTGTGAGCCACCATGCCCGGCCGCCAGGGAATGTATTTAGCAGTTGGTAGAGGAGGAGGAAAGAACTTCAGAGAGGTAGGTGAGAAACAAGCTCTGGGGCTGGAGGGGCCAGAGGAGTATGTAGGCCAAGCGGAGGCTGCTAGGCTGCTTGAAGAAGAAGTGGTCTGCCGCAGAGTGCTACTGAGAGGTAAAGCGAGGAAACAGAAAGGACCTCTGCCATTAGTGACTTGAAAGTAGTGGTGATTGCCAGGCATGGTGGCTCATGCCTGTAATCCCAGCACTTTGGGAGGCCAGGGTGGGCGGATCATGAGGTCAGGAGTTGAAGACCAGCCTGACCAACATAGTGAAACCCCATCTGTGCTAAAAATACAAAAATTAGCCGGGTGTGGTGACACGTGACTGTAGCCCCAGCCACTTGGGAGGCTGAGGCAGGAGAATCGCTTGAACCCAGGAGGCAGAGGTTGCAGTGAGCCGAGATTGTGCCATTGCACTCCAGCCTGGGCAGTAAGAGTGAGAGACTGTCTCCAAAAAAAAAAAAAAAGGAAAGAAAGTAGTGGTGGCCTGGTGAAGATTGGATTGGGTCTGGAGTGATTGGATATTGAAGTATGAGATTTCATGAAATTTTTATAACTGTACTGGCCCGTAAATGAAAGACTCAAGCTTAAAGAACGTGTTGTACCTTCAGTTCAGTTTCTTCCATTTACCATATTTGCCTTTTTATTTGATTGACTACATCCAACTTGTTTAGCAATCTACCCAGCTAACTGCATTCACTCGTGTTTAACTGTATAGCATTGCTCTGTATTTGTCTTTCCTTTCAGACTGAGCGTACTAGTGAAATACTGTTTGTCCTCATATATCAATTAGGATTGTGGTTGGCTATAACAGAAAACCTGATTGAACAGAGGCTTAAACAGCTGTTATATGCAGAAAACATACACCAGACATTACAGCATCCGGAGTTGGCGTGTGGTACCTTCACCATGCCATCTGGGGCTGCAGGGGCTCTGTCATTCCACTCAGCCATCGTTAGTTTGTGACTTTTGTGCATGTTTCATGACAGTTGCAAGATGTAGCTTCACTCCAACATCATGCCTTTGTTCCAGGCAGAAAGAAGAAGAATGGAGGGCAAAAGGCTTATGCCAGGGAGTCTGCCTCCTTTCCAATTGCGTTTTTGACCCACAGCTTCTACTGACATCTCATTGGTCAAGAGCTATCACATGGCCACCTAGATGCAAGGGAGTCTGGGAATTATAGTGTTACTGTGAACAAAACCAGTGCTCCCTTAGTACAGAAAAGGAGAACAAGGCATGCTGGGTAGATGCCTGCCACACTTTAAATAAAACAGCCAGGTATGGTGACGCATCCCAATAGTCCCAGCTGTTTGGGCGGCTGAGGTGGAAGGAAGGATCACTTGAGCTTAGGGGGTCGAGGCTACAGTCACCCATGATCATGCCACTGCACTCCAGCCTGGGTGGCAGAGTAAGACCCTGCCTCCAAAAAATAAAAAATAAAATAAAAAATTCCATATGATAGGAGGGGCCGTGTTCATTCAAAATTACCAGCTGGCGACAACATATAGTCTAGCAGCTTTGGAGCTTTGATCCTGGAATTAGTTTTGTCAATTACTTGGAGCCCTAACAGTCTTATGCTGTCTACTCCTGTTTCCTGTTCTCCCCCAGAATCCTCGAGGGTGGGAACTGTTTATCTTTCATCTCCCACAGTGCCTGGCCCAGAAGCCTTGCTAAATATTTGAACAGGATTGCCCAGTGAGTTTGTGCACAATAGTGTTTGTGGACACCTGTCTTCTGTAGCTCTGGGTTGGGAATGATTTGTATGCCCAAATGGCTCTCTCATGTGGTTATTTTTTGGTTTGCTTTTAGATACTTTTCTGCTGTGAGAATGTAAGATGGATCCAGAAGAGCAGGAGCTCTTAAATGATTACAGATACAGAAGCTACTCTTCAGTGATTGAAAAGGCTTTGAGAAATTTTGAGTCCTCGAGTGAATGGGCGGATCTCATATCTTCACTTGGCAAACTCAACAAGGTATGTCGGGTGTATCCTATTTGGATTGCGTGGAGGTGGGGACGTAATTGTCTTTTTATTATTATAAGAAATTACATGGTTATATTATTTGTATTTTATAATCTTTATATTATTACATACTATACAGTATAATCTTTATATTATTTCAAAGAAATGCCATTATATATACAATGATGATTACAATTAGAAAATACAGAAAAGAAAAAAAAACCACTCATAATTCTGTCCTCCAGTGTTACCCACTGTTAACCTATCAATGTATGTACCTCCTTCCAGCTTTTTCTGAGCATAAAATTATATATGGTGTTCATGTAGTTAAACAATCTTTTTCTTAACAATATTTATGTCTAGACAAGATACAATTTAAAATTGTCAAATTAGGCATTCAAAGACTGTTCTTTGTATACTCCTTAGGATTTTTATTTATTTTTTTTCTTTGATCTACTTTTTTGATCCTTTTACTGCTGTCTGGTAACTCCTAGAAGAATAGAAGTTGAAATAAATATTGAAATCTGCCTAGAACTTGTGTGTGTGTGCATGTGCATGCATGTGTGTGCTTGTGCGTGCATACGTGTGTGCATGTGTGTGTGTGTGTGTGTGTGTGCGTGTGTGGAATCAGATCTAGGAAAACCAAAACTGGTCAAATGTGGGCTTGACCTTGTCCTCTATATCAGTACCAAAAATTAGGCAGGCGCTCGGCGCTGGCCTGCCTGTTATCCCAACTACTCGCGTGGCTGACCGATGCCTAGACAGAATCGCTTGAAACCCTGGGAGGTGGAAGGTTGCCGCTGGCCCGAGGGTTGCGCCCACTGTACTCCAACCTGGGTCCAACAGATGTGCCTGTCTCAAAAAAAAAAAAAAAAAGTCTGCATAAAGACGGCATGCCACGCTAGATCCCTCGCACTATGGGCAGTTCCAACAGGGTTCCATCGCTTTCTGGGATACACCCGACTACCACCTCACTGACAGCACGCCCGCCCCGTGGTCCCCCCGCTCCTCCGCTCCCTCCTGCTGCTCCGCGC